TGGTATCTGCTCACCTGCTGTATCTGCAAGAGCACCAGCACCACCTTTCACGGCTCCAACTGCTCCGCCTAAAAGGGGGAATAATTGCGCAAGGGTTAAGAAGAGCGAGAGGCCGGTCATGACTGTACCTGCAACTTCTCCGACGGTCCTTCCAACAGTGATAGCTCCTGATCGTGCGCCTTCAGCTGCGTCTTCTGAAGAATCCGATTTTGATAGGTCAAAATATGGTCCGAGGTATTACCAGTGCTTATGTGTTGTAAATTCCACCCTATCCCCAAAAAGAGGTAGCATTAGACAGATAGGTAACATCGCTGCGAACTGTTTATTGCACACTAGCCTTGAATTTTCCCACATGACCCCCTCCCCCACTCACGTCACCCTCTATATCTTTTTTCCTACACTATAATGACCTGGATTTCTGAACTGTCACTGCCAAGATGTTGTTCTCTCAGATCTGAGAAAAGGTAGGGGTTCGCGTTTAATGACCTACATCTTGCGTCCGTGGATGACATATCGATAACCTTGACTTCTGGTTAGTTTCGAATTAAAACTTTGAGGAGAGGTAATAGAATAATATGATCTGGAAGCAAATTTCGGATAACTGACTGCTGACGGTCAAGACGAGCCCTGAAAAGGCTGACCTGCCTGGGGTTACCTTAGCAGGGTTCGGGCTCACATGGGGTTATGCTCCTCTACTTCGCGGGCCGCCCACGGCAGCGTTGTATAATGGAGTCATGGGACCATCACTGTGCTTTACGGTGCTTTTTTCCCGGAGCTTCTATAGGTTTCGTTGCGGAATAAGCCTTTAGAACTCACACCAGCACATGAAAATTTGACAAAAGTACTAATAACTAAAATATTGCCGAAACCTATTATTACAAGTCTGTACATATCTTATTCTAATCAAGAATGGCGGATTTCCCTAAGTTGCTGTGCCTCTACAGCACCAGCACCATTCTTCACAGTGCCCGAAGGGCCACCTTGAGAGGAAATGGTAGGAACTTTTGTTTCTCTAAAAAAATTTCAACTGGTTTGGAGAAAACTCACTAGCAGTTTCTCCGACGGCTTCACCAGCAGCCTTAGTACCTTCTTTGACGTCATGAGCGGCTTCACCTGCAAAACTCATTAGTTGATTGGGACTGATAGAGAATGAAGTGCATAGTTTTAATTTTTATTTCATTCTGCCGCGCAGATGGACGAGGGAGACCATAGTTGGAATATAATGCGACATATTGGCCC